ATTGAGTATTTGAGACCAACTATGGCTCATGGAGCCCAAGAAACAAAATTTACTATTTGTCCCTTTACTGGAAAAATTTCCCACTCATGCTCTACATCAGCAATTGTTAACTGTGGGGACAAGTTTGAATCTCCTCCAGGACCTTTACTAACTACTGCTGCCTGTTAATTGGCCATGGATGGACATTGTTATTGTTTGTTCCTTTAAAGCTCCTGAGGTCATTTCTGAGTTGAGGTCCAGTGGCCTGGAATGACTGTGACTGTCCCTTCTAGCAGCAGGAATGTGATTTTATTATCATGGCTCCAAGAAGGAGCCGAGCTGCTACATGTGTGTCTGGGTGCCTGGGAAAGAGGTGGCCTTATCTCCGGTGAGAACATGCTGACTCACCCTGGATTCTTTGGTCAGGTGGTGGCAAAGCTTGACCTTATCAGCCATCAGTGCTGCCAACATTCTTTCTGAGGCTCCAAGCCCATCCCACTCAGACTATCTTCCATCAGCGCTCTGCTAAAGGGTTTCTCATCAGCTTGTCTGGTTTAGGATGAGGGCTTCGGGCAATCCTGTCAACCTTTTGTTTCCCTTTCCACAGGCAGGTTGGAGCAGGCCAGAGAAAAATGGATCACACAGCATTATTCTTACATATTAGTCAGCAAGCCTCAGTCCTGAAGGCTACAGGAGAGCATGTGTGTTTACTGAGAGCTAATCCCCCAGGAGCCCAAATTCTGGCTCTGACTCCTTTAAAAGATGGCACAGTGTAGTTCAAATCAACACAAACTCAGTCTTTTACTCTATAGATCAAGGAAAGATAATTTTCTCCCTTTGACAAAGATTTTAGGTAAGATGATTTCTCCTTTTGACAAAGAGACTGGGTAAAATACATGTGAAAGGCACCTTGTGATGACAAGGTGTAATATGTTAACATCGTTGTGGTCCAGCTACAGCTATAACATTATTAGTATATCATGCAAAGCAATATTATATAACTCATCAAAGTCTTTGGGCTATGTAATGTCTTTGTACACTGAACTGTTTATAGCGAAGAGAGCTCCAGAGGTGGAAATCTGGTCTTTATTATAAAACTTGGATTTGGAGGTATGTTTAACAGAGGAAGGTAGCTCTTTAAAAAAAATGAGGCACATATGCTGTTAAAAGGGATTTGAACTCTGTGAGTAGCTCTGATAGACTTACTGGAACTAAGGATTTTATTTATAAGCTAAATTATACTATTAAAGTCAGTGTTCACAACTATTCTTAGCATCTAGAGATTAAATGTATTCATAGGCTTGGATACTTGAATTGCCCTTTCCCTCATCTGAGACTTGAAATTTCTTAATTTTAGAGATTAACAGGAATGGTCTCAGTTTAGTAAAAGCTTTTCTTTCATGTGGTTTCAGCTCTAAGTAATGGAGGACTTACTCCATGCCCCCGGACAATAAGGAATTCATAGACAGTTGAGTCTTTCCAAGATTGGGTTGGGAGGTTCTTTGGTGGGTTCAAAGGCCTTGTGGTGGTGCTCGTGTTCCATTGAGTACTCCATCTAGGACTGAGTATACACTGAATCTCCTGGAAAAGAGATGGCTACTGATCAGTATTGTGATTCCATTAGGGAGAAGCAAGGGAGGAAAAGGTTGCTGTGTAGATGTCCAGCAGTGACCACTATAGCTCACGCTTTTTTCCCCCTATGAAATTGCAGAGACACGAAAACTTTTGTTTGATGATTCCTAGACCTTTGTTACTGGTGTGTGTGTATGGTGTGCGCGCATACATGTGTGTGAATAGATGCATGTGCATACATGTGAGTCTACATGCTCAACCTTGGGAACCATCGACCTTAGACTTTTAAATTTGTTTTGTTTTTTATTTTTGTAATGGGCTCTCTCACTGAGACCCAGAGCTCACTAGTTAGGGTAGGCTGGCTGTCCACCAAGCCCCAGAGACCCCCCTGTTTCTGCCTTTTACAAGATACCCATTTTGTAATTCCAGCATTAGGATTACAAGCACTCGCCCCATGCCTGACTTTTTATGTAGGTTCTGAGATTTGAACTCAGGTTCTCATGCTTGTGGGGCAGGCCTTTGCTGATTGAGCTATTTCTGTAGCTCTGCTGTTACCAATTTTGTTTGTTTGGTTTGGTTTGGTTTTTTACATAGGGTCTTAACTATGTAGTCTTATCGGCCTGGAACTCACTATGTGGACCACAATGGCCTTGAACTCACAGAAATCCACCTGACTCTGCTGGGATTAAAAGCATGCACTACCACGCCCAGACACTAATTTCTGGCAAGGAATTTAACATTGTTGAAATTTGGTGTCGGGAAAGATCCCAGGTGATAACTATTGGCATTGTCCTCCTGATTTAAGCAGACAAGTTTAACATGATTGTAAGGGAGGAGATAGCAAGCCTTAGACTCATTTGCATATTATATGTAATGGGAGAGTTTTAAGCTCAGGTCTGGGCAACCTAAGTTTGGTATGAAGATTGTGTGTGTGTGTGTGTGCAAATTTGAGCACACATGTGCCATGCTACAGCATGTTTGTGGAGGTCAGAGGACAACCTTGGGTGTTGGTTCTTGTGTTTAAGACAGAGTCTTGTTTCACACCTGTGTACAGCAGGTTAGCTGGCCCAAGGGCTTCTGAGGATTTTCCTGTCTCTACCTCTCATCTTGTAGGAGCATTGGGATTATGGATGAGTGCTACTGTGACCAGCTTTACGTGGGCACTGGAGATACAAACTCAGGTCTTTATGCTTGCACAGCAAGTCCTTTATGCACTGAGCCATCCCCCCAGCTCTGAAGTGGAGATTTTCTATAAATTATGCATATATGCTTATGGTTGGGGAGGTAGGCTCAGGCATGCCATGTAGAGTTTGTGGAGGTCAGAGGATAACTTTTGGAGCTGGTTCTCCTTTCACTAATCTCAGGAATTGAACTCGGGTCATCAGGCTTGGTGGCAAGTGTCTTTACTTGCTGAGCCAGCTAGTCAGCCCCTATAAATGATTTTTGTATGTTAAGAACATTATTTGAGACGTTGCTTTCATTATTAATCTTAAATGAAACTCATGAATTGAGTAACCTTTAAAGCTCTACAATTTGGAAATAGACATTCTCATCTTAGATACAGTTCTGCTCTGAGTGTGTGTGTGTATGTGTGTGTGTTGGTGGTGTTGGGGATTAAGTATAGGACTTTGAGCATGCTGTATAAGTTTTGTACTAATGATCTACACTCCTAGCCCAAGAATTATGAATTTTGTTTTTGTTGTGATATCTCTCACTCTGTAGCCAGTACTGACCTTCAGTTTACAACAGCTTCCCAAGTCCTGGAATTACAAGATAAACCACCATGCCTAGCTAAGAATTGTGTTTTAAAAATATGTTAATTACTTCATGTCCTTGCGAGATCTCAATTCTAAGATAATTTGAGATAAAACTGGCTAACATTGCCCTCTTCCAGATATTTATTTCCAGTAGATTCAGTTGTTTGAAGTTCTGACTGAATGTGGCTTAAATAGTACATTTTCCATAGAGCTGTTTTTAAAATAGGAGATGTGAACTGCTCAAATTAACTTTGGATGCGGTTCTAATTGAAGTTTTAAATAATCTTGCTGTGTAAGCTACTTGATGGTTTTAAGCCATCCTTTCCAATATAAAGTGAGGAAATGATCTTGAATTAAATTCTAGTTGTGGGCACCCAAGTTAACTGTGGCATGTTCAGTCTTAGGTGTTCAAATCACAGGAATAAAAGACAGGGTTCTGGAACATCACCAGGAGGCTGATGATATTGGGATAGGTAGACTCACCAATCAAGATGATAGAACTGAGGAAGAGAATGGAAATCAAGTTGCCACAGTACAAACGGTCATAGCTTCAGATGTGTTTAAAAAGGGAGATAGAAACATCAAGAAAAAGCAGTAGCAAGGTTATAACAGCTTTCTGACTGTTTTAGCCATTGGAACACCTGAAAGGAGTTGAAGCTCTCTGTGGGGAGGAATATGAGCAATATGTGCTTTATTCATCCCAGGTAATGGCTGGTCATACTCATGACGCCATGTCTTCAAAAGCACTAAATCATGTGCATGACACTTTTTAGAAAGCACCGAGGGGCTGGAGAGATGACTCAGCAGTTAAGAACACTGGCTGTTCTTGCTGAGGACCCGGGTTTGGTTCCCAGCACCCACATGGTGGCTAACAACCGTCGGTAGTTCCAGTTCGAGGTAATCTGATGCCCTCTTGTCTTCTGTCAGAACTATGGAATGTGAGTGCACCTACGTATATACAGGCAAAACACTCAGACACATAAAATAAAAATAAATCCAACACATTTTTAAAAAGAGGGTATTGAGCTATGGATATTTTTTAGCTAAACATCCAAGGAACAAACTATGAAAATGAAAGTGTGAGCACCTCACATCAGTTTCCGGGGAGAAAGCCCCTCAGTGCTTTCTCAGTGCTTGGGGACACACTGTCTTCAAGGTGGCTGGACTGACAAAGTCACTAGATTTTGACACAACTAGAAAACTGCCTTTTTAAAAATAAGTTTTTAATGTTCTTTTTTTTCCTTCTCATGTCAAAAGTTATCCATCTGGAGAATATAGATGCAAAAAAATCCTTTGTCATGCAAGCATGGAGAATAACAGCAGTAAACCTTATTATTCTATCCTTCAGTAACTTCTGTGTGTTTATGATGGGAAAGAAAGGAACATAGTAAGAACAATTTTCCATACCATAATCTTTCCCCCTTGTACATATGTGTGTTTTTGAATAGATTTGTAAAAAAAAGTAAATGTTGATTTATGTATAACCATATGTTTTCTTATGTGTGATCATGTGGTAAACCCCAGTGCAAAAATCAAACATCCAGAAGATTTAAAGTTGTGAAATGTTATTTAGGACATAGTGTACACTTGTAAGTCTGAGACTAAGAAATGATTATATAAGTGAATCAGAAGTTCTTTTGTATGTTTATTTTAAAGAATCCATTAGACATAAAATATTTTCTTTTTACTTAGCCTTCTCTGGATATTCAACTAATACAAAGTATGATCCACACCAGATTAAAGCAGAAATAGCAAGCCGTCGGGATAGGGTAAGTAAAACCAGGACTTTTACAGCTAGAAGCCCTGTATGTATCTTTACGTAGCAGTAGGTATCATGGTTCAGTATTTCAATGTCACCTAACACTCGGGTATTAGCAAGGTATTTCTGAACTACTATTGCATTTAGTTTTATTTTTCACTTGTTTTCCAATAAGAGATTTTGGAGAATTTCATACAGATGTATTGTCTTTGCATTGTTTCCACCCCTCCCACTCCTCCTCCAACTCCTCCCATGTCCATCCTCCATTCGCCCTCAAATTCTTGTACCTCTTTTTCATTTTTATTGTTTTGTGTATATACATTTATAAATACACGCACACACATATATGTATAATGCACTGAGTCATTTAATGGTGCTCATGTGAACATGTATTTTAGATACTTTAAAGCCATGGTTTACCAGACAGAAAGTAGCCAGTATCCCTTGCATATATTTATGGGACAGACTCACCAACTGTTTGGGAAGATACAGTGATGTCAGCACCCAGTGCCACAGGCTGCTTCTTTCTGGTACTAGGATGCCGCCTTCTGTCACTCTCCTTGGATGGCTAGTCCCAAAGGGACAGTTCCTATAGCAATGCTTTACCTAAAGAATTCTGGTCCTCCTTCCCTACTGACACTTGTGTTCTTCAAGTGACACTTTCTCTCATTCCTTTAGACCCTGACCTGCCTAGCTGTCTGAGAGAGGGCACATGTGCTGGTTTGTGGCAAATTTCAGGAAACATCTTGGCAGTGAGCTCAGCCTCCTCTTTTCCTGGTGTATCATTCCCTAAACCAGGCTGTGTATTTTAGTCCTCAACATTTAACACAACTGAGACATCATCTTGGTAGCTTTGTGAACGTACAAGTTTGTAGGCCCATCCCCCTGTGTCTTGATGGTAAACTGGAGATGCTCCTGGAATCTGTTTAAAGAATTGTATCGGGGGATTGAGCTTCAGGTAGTCAGAGGTGGCAAGTATCCTTGGTAGGGTCTATGAAGAGTAAGTACAAGGAAAGTTGACAAAGTATTACATTTGCTATGTGGTACGTACATTGGCACCTTCAAAAAGCATGTAGTTGTACCCCACTTAAGTAGGCCACGTCAAGACTGAGGATTTTACACTTGTGTACAATGTATTGTAATCATATCCACCTGTATTTTCTCCCGCCAACTTCCCCTCTTAACCCCCCATCAAGAAACCCCCTTCCCAACTTTGTGTCTTTTGTTTTGTTTTGGTAACCCACTAAGTCCAATTAATTCTGCCTAAGCGTGCATGTGTATGGGACCATCCACTAGAGCATGGGCAATCTACCAGTAGCCACTGCCACAGAAAAGAATGATTTTCCCTCCCCCCACACTTATCAACTACCAAAGCCCCTCAGTGCAGAGTGGGGCCTTGTGAGCATCTTCCCCATCTATGTGGGAATTTTGGCTGGCTCAATCTCATGCAGGTCTTGTGCAGGCAACCACAGCTGCTGTGAGACAGTGATTGTGAAATCCATGACCCATCTAGGAGATAGCATTTCACAGCACTCCTCAGGATGGAGGATTCTTGAATCTAATCAAGGCAGTTTTCTTAAAGTAGCAGAGGCTAGGCGATCTATAGAGTTGAAAGCTAAGGAAGAACTTAGATGACTACTGTGTAATTTATTACTGCTTGGATTTGTTTTTAGCTTTCCAGATTAAAACGAGAGCTGACCCAGATGAAGCAGGAGCTACAGTACAAAGAAAAGGGTGTGGAGACTCTACAAGAGTGAGTTACTTGCATGTGAATATGGGAGCGTTTTCCTGTGGTTTCCTTTTGTTCTGACATATTTGGTACCTGGACATATTGTATTCAAAGCCTCGTGGCCTTCACTTTTATGCTTTTATTTATGCTCATTATTTCCCTATTCTAAACATCAGAACCTGTCTGTTCTTTGAAGATGATTTATTCCTTTAAATAGAAAGACTTGGGAAATAAGGCCTTTCTTTTTATATTTATTCACACTTTTTAACACTGTACTGCTCAAGACACATATGGACATTTAGCTTTAAATTCAAGATTTCATTATCTTCATTTTTAATCTAAAATTAATTTTTAAATTAATTAAATTAAAAATAAAATCTTGTTACTCAGTCTCAGTAATCACATCTGAAGTTCTCAGTACTAATATCTGAAGTTCTCAGTACTAACATGTAGTTGGGGTATACTTTGTCTATCATGATAATGGTGATAAATGAGACCAGACTCTTCGTGTAGACCATCCTGTGCACTGTAGGAAGTTGGGCAGCATCCTTGACCTCTACCTGCCAGCTGCTAATAGCACCCAAATCCTATTATGACAAAGAGAAATATCATAGACTTTGTCAAGTTCCCCCCAATTGAGAAGCACTGGTCTTGTGGCTACTCACTGGGGAGCACAGGCTATACCATCACAGAAGGTTCTCCTGATCAGTGTCATCTATAAGACTGCCTCCTCTTCACACTGTTCCAGTTAGAACTTTATCACTACAAAGGGTTTGAGAAGGAACTTCTTATAATTTGTATGCTGTATTAAATCAGCACATTATGTGAACAAGAGTCATCATTTTACAGATGGTGATGGTCTTGGCCTAAAAGAATACGTTTTCTTAAGAACAGGTAGCATGGACTTGACAACTGAGTGTCCTCTCAGAGCCTGACTTCTCCACTGGCTAAACTTGGATGTATGCTTCACATTTTCTGTGTCTAGTTTCTCCTCTCTAAATGACGATTGTCTTAGCCCATTCTGGCTGATACAACAAAATTCCATCAGTGGGTGTCTTGAAGAACAGATGTTTATTTCATAATTCTGTGTGGACCTTGGGAGTCTGAGTTCATTCCTAATGAGGACCCAATTCCTGACTTATAGTCACCTTGTTACGGTGCCCTTACATGGCCAAGAGAGAGGATGTCTTAGCTCTGATGTCTCTTCCTTTCCTTTTTAGGGCATTAATCTCACCATGGGCCCCCTACCCTCATGACCTCATCTAAACCTAATTTACTTCCTAAAGATCCCACCTCCAAGTACCATCACATCAGAGCATAGAACTTCAATAGAAGAACCCAGGGTAGGATTGAGTGGGTGGGCAGAAACACGTAGTTCACTAGCAGTCCGATTAAGTTCAGTTCCCCAGAGGAAAATACCACTGCCAGGTCAGCATTCAGCAAAGGTGGGAATTCATCTGCTTGGTTACTATGATTGGTTAAGGTGGCCGGTATAGCATGTTTTTTATCCTGGATTTATGCTCAGTACAATGTAACAATTAGGACAGCAGTGTTTATCTTTACAGGGAGGTGATAGAGGAATGTGTTTGACAAGTGTAGTTACCTCAGCCTTGTGTAAAGGGTACGATCTGGACGTATCAAACCTTATTGTTGAATGTTAAGTTGAGATTGGCTTTTTTAATATTTGTGTGTGTGTGTGTGTGTGTGTGTGTGTGTGTGTGTGTGTGTGTGTGTGTTCTGTGTGTGCATGGGGAATTATATGTATGTGGTTCCCTGTGTCAGGTATGCATATGCATGTGTCGACCTGAGGCCGATGTGAGGGTGGTTTTTTTTTTTTTTTTTTTTTTTTTTTTTTTTTTCCTGTTACTCCTCACCTCATTCCTTGAGACAGGATTTCACAATTGAACCCAGATCCCCTCCCTCCACCTTGTGGTGCTGGCATTACAGCTAGGCTGCCACACCCACCCAGCATCTATATGGGTCCTTGGGATCTGAACTCCTGTCTTCATGCTTGCTGCTTATGAAACAAGTGTGATGACCACTGAGCCCACCCAAGATGGACTTTCATAGTCCTCCAAGATTAGGGTTGGTTCAGGATTCCTGAAGAAATAAAACAGGTGATCTGGGTTTTGTCTTGAGGAACTTGGCTTTCTCTGGCCCTGACTCGCAGGAATGTTAAAAGATGGTGGTTTATTCAGAAACACAGACATGCCCCCTGCAGGTGGGTTTTGATAAGCCAATTAACGTGATCTAAGCTCTTTAAAGTAATTGTCTTTCTTTGTTCCCTACTATTTCTCAGCCCTGTCCTCGTGTGGTTTGCCTGTGTTTTGCATCTGCAATCTGAGACACCTTTCATTAACACTAGCCAGTTAGTACAGCTGTTTTTTTTTTAAGTTTTGTCTTAAGCCACTCAAGCCTCTTCAGTGCTGCCCTGTTGGAAGCCGCATTGTCAGTGTGTTTCCTCCTACTGGCTTTGTTGCTCTTTTGGTCTGCTTGCTGCAGAGCTTCCTAGTATACTGATGCAGGCTTTGTCATTTTCCTGTAACATCCAGGCAGCCTTCAGATCCTACAACACTTCCCAGAATGCTTCCACGTGTTGTGGCTATGGCATATTGTGTCTCTTCTGTTAAAAGGGGTGAATAAAGACTAAGAACAAACAATTAATTTGATTTCATAGGTTACCAAAGGAGCCTGGACCATGTCACTGGATAGGAGATTTATTTCCTGGTTTCATTGCTCTTTCCTACTGGTGGCTTTATTCTGTGGCACCTGTATAGAACTTGTCATTTTAATGGTAGACACTATGTATGCTGAAGGCTACAGTCCACTTCATTTTCACTTGAAAAGTTTCTCTGAAACGTGACTTGACTTCAGGAAGTCTGAAGGCGTATAGCAGCCCTGAGCCTCACAAAGATCTAGACCCTGTGCATTTCCCTGTAGGCTGTGGTGTTTATCGGGGATTACTGGGCTTAGTGCCTGCTGCTTTGCCTGGCCCATTATTCTGACCAGGTCCATTTCCCAGTTTGAATACAAAGTTTGTAATGTCAGGTTAAGAACAAATAATCTAGAACAGAAACTGCTGGGGACTGTCTGGGAAATGGCCTTTGTCTTGGCCTTGCTGGAAAATACTCTATATGCTATAGTTGTAGTCAGCTCAAGGATAGGAGATGGAACCCACACAGGCAAAGGCTTAACTTGATGCCTACATTTGATGTGGAATGTGAATTGGGCTCCTAGAGAGAAGTGTAGTGTTGTTGGTAGTTTCTTTCTGCTTTCCGTAGCAAGACTCCATGCTTGGGAGCAGCAGCAGTAAACTTACCTCTTGCCAGGGGAAGGCTCCTCATGCCTGCCAGGGCTCATAGGAGTACCCACCCTTCCCTAGACACCAAGGAGTGACTGGGAACTCTGGACCTAACTTCAATCTTGAGGGGCCCACCTCCATCTCTGTGCCCCACCAGGGGTCCAAGAGGCCCTCCACCTTCCGGGAAGGAGCTACTGAGAAAGAGCCTTGTTTATTAGCATGTTGCTGTTCTGTTGGTAGCTGCATTGTCACTGTGTGTTTACTGTATTCTGTGACACGGCCTCTCAGGAAGAAGAGAAAACATAGGCGCTTACATCACTCTTAAAATTCTTTGCAAGTGAAAAACAAGCTGGTAGATTGCCTTGAGTTCCATGGGCTGCTATGCGGTTTTATTTCAGCTTCATTAGTTTTCTAGTAGTGAAGATTGGGCATTTATGTTTGGATCAACTCATGCAAATTTATATTATTCATTGAGAAGTTTTAATGATTGAAAATATGAATACGTCACCTTCCCTGCAAAATCCTGACTGTAAATACAGATAGCACCCAAGCTTTTGAACATAAATGTGAAGCTTCTCTGACTTTTTTATTTTTTACCAGCACAACTTAATGCAGCAGCCCTATGTTTTCCTCCAGAAACTGCCTGCTGTTCTTGCTTCCCAGAAATTCCAGAGCACCTCAACGGGAGTTTGGCTGCTTATAACATTTTAAACTTGACTTGTTTATCTTGGTGAATTTCCTGGCTAGCAAGGAAATCCATCATTATACTTGAGTACAAGGGAGGAAAAAAGAACCTTTAGTATTTTTAAAAATAGGGGCTGGAGAGATGGCTCAGCAGTTAAGAACACTGGTTGTTCTTGCAGAAGACCCAGGTTCAAATCCCAGCACCCACATTGCAGCTAACAACTATCCGTAACTCCAGTTCCAGGGGATCTGACAGCCTCTTCTGTCCTCCGTGGGCATTGCACGAGACGGGTGCACTTACCTATATGCAGGCAATACACGCATACACATAAAATAAAAGTAATAAATAAAATATTTTAAGGAAAAGAAAAAATACATTAAAATATCCATATATGCTGCTAATATTTGTCAAGGGGAGCTGGCCTTGTATATAGTCTCTGTTTAATGGTAGTTATCTATTACATATAGTATATATCACATAAAATATATATTCTATTTACAGATCTAAGCTTTCAGTAGTGTAAGATGTCAAATAAAAGTACATAGGCAAGACCAATGAAAGCCTCATGTTTCCTTCTTATTTGTAACTCCACGATTACTAGTCTTGGTGAACGTGTGACCCTGTCTCAACCCTTGAGCTCTTATTGAAGCAAATTCCAGAATCACATTTAATTACAAATATTTCTTAAAACTGTGCAAGCCCCTTGGAACATAATTACAGTGCCAGTACCCCACTTAATAGGCTTCTATCAGCAGTGAGCTTCCGTTTCGTTGGCTCTAGGTTCCAGTGAGGCCTCACAGTGCATTTGGTTGGTATGTCTGTTAAGTCTTTTCACATGGTCTGCTTCTCTTTTCTTTTTGGTTTCCTGATAACTTATTCACTCAGGAAAAGAATTTGTCCTGTAGAGTTTCTCTGAGTTTAGATTTTAGTGCTCAAATTCCCAGGGTATCACTGAACAAGTTTCCTTGTCTCCCGCTGTTTCTACATATGGGTTAATTGCTTTTAAAAGCTGGCTTTTGTTTAAGTTCCATTTATTTT